GGGCCCGCCGAATCCACCAGACTTACAAAATACCAAATGTCGGGCTCTCCCTTTGCTGGCTGGTCTCTCAGCCTTTAGGGAGCCTGCAGCCAGGGCTGGAACTTCCTAGTGTTCTGAAGGGAACCCCAGAGCCTCATGTGCTCCCATGAGTCCAAGAGTGCGGCTGTAAGGGGGACATCACAGGTAGCCAGGCTCTCAAATACACAGGGAGGGAGGGAGTGAATTCTGGACTTTGTGCTGTCCCATCTGCGCCTGTACCTCTCCAGCCCCCGTGCGCCCCGGTCAGTGCGCCTGTACCTCTCCAGCCCCCGTGCGCCCCGGTCAGAGTGTGTGGCAACGCAGTAGCTGTAACCATTGCTAGAACCCCCTAATCATCGACATTGTTGTTCTCCCTCTGACCAACATCAGGGATGTAGGCTCGACACTGGCGCGAGGAAAGCCCACCGCCAGCAGCCTGCTTTGATTCCCGCTGCTCTCGTGCCGAGCCGGCGGAGCACTTGCCCTTCTGTGCACGATCTCCAAGTGCTTCCCTCCGGGCTGGGGAACCTGATGGCTGGTTTGCGGATGTGCAGTCGGAGGCACTGAGCATAAGCGACTTGCCAAGGTCGCTCCAGGAATAGCCCAGTCACCCTGGCATCCAGGCCTCCGTTCTGCCGGCAGCAATTGCTAGTAGACATGCAGCGGCGGCTCCTTCGGGGTTTTCTCATCTCCGCTCCATCCTTCTCGCTCTGCTGGCGGGGAGTCCAGCTGCTCGCTGCTGCCAGCATTGCAGGGGGGAAATACGGCAGGGGCCCCGGGAAACAACTGTCTTCCATGCAGCTGAGAATAATGACAGGGTTAAAAGTATTTGTCATAGCCTCCTTCCCAGCAGAGGAACGAAATGGAGCTCTGGGGCTCTGCTTGGAGCCACCCAGATCTGAGTCTGGGGGAGGTTCTGTAAAATGCCCTGGCTGCATCGCAGGGCTAGGAGCCAAGACATTCTGTGTGCTTCTTCCGGTGCTGTTTGCTGGCTCCCAGGAGGCCCCTCCGATGGGATTCAGAATTCCCTGTGCCCCCTGCCGGGCTGTTACCCTACTGTGTGCAGGGGCTCCTTCTCAATTGGAGAATCTGAACCCAAGAATTCGAATGAATGTTTGGAACTTAAAACCCAGCACTGGTTAGAAAACTCCCGAGAGGGGCTTCGGGTAGGGCAAGGACAGGACAGGAGCTTGTTGGCTCTCAAGCTAATTTTAAATAAGCCGGAGAAATGAGAGAGGGAGGGGGACTGGGATTTCAAAGGAGCTTGAATTCCAGTGGGATTTAGGTGCCTAATTCCCTTAGGCTTCTTCAAAACTCCCAGCCCAGATAGCCCAAGCGCAGTCTCATTTTAAGAAGGAAAGACTGTCGTCATGATTAGAACCGACGCTCAGCTGTTGTAAGCTGGGTCATCTTGAGTTCTAAGACCAGGCGCTGGCTCCTCGGATCTCCGGAAGGGAATCAGACCCCTTTGTACCTCCGGCAACTCAGCCCTGCTAAAAAAAAAGGGGGTGGGGGGAAGAGACACCTCAGTGCAGCTGAGTCATGTGATTCTGCTCTTCGGTGACTGAGGCTCTGAGGCGCGTTGCATGGTCGGGTTAGCCCGCAAGGCTCTGGGGCGCAGAGGGGCAAGGTCGAGTAAGATCCGCAGCTTCAGCTGTGACAATATGAGGTGGAAGTGCCTTCCCTCGGCGTTCGGCGCTGGGCACGCTGCAGGAAACTGCTTCCCTTACTCCTCGTGGCTCCCGCAGCGCCCCCTCGGCTCGAATTCGCTGTCTTCACTAGGCCCGCTAATTCGAACCCTGGAAGATCGCCGGCGGCAGCTTGGATCTCCGTAGTGTGGCCGTACCCTAGGGAGTAGCACCTGGCTGCGACAGCCAGCGGAGCGCTCCGAGCTGTCTCCGGGGGCTCTCCCAGATGGCCTAACTCCTGTGCCACGGCACGGCCTGGCCTTGTCCCCCGCCCCCCGCTTCCCTGGCAGCCTGCTGAGGTCCCTAGGAAAAGGGCCAAAGCATGACGGTCCCCTGAAGACGGCAAGCTCCAAGTGGCCTGTGCGCAGTTCCCTCTGGTGCCGTGTGGCAGGGGCTGGGAGCAGGAGCCCCCAGCCTGGGAAGGGTGAGCTGGGGGATGGGCCAGATGGGGGCAGGGATAGAAATGCTCTTTCTGCAGCCCTTCTGCAAACCGAGAGAGGCCCCCAGTGGCCACTGAGGGGATCAGCCGTGGGTTGCAGCAGGGCCCCTCTGGCTCCCGTTCCCGGCTGCGCCAGGCCATTCCCCGGGCTGCTGCCTGGGGTGCTGTGGCTGAGCTGGCCTGTGAGCCCGGTGCAGAGAGGGATGGTCACATGAGGGTTGTTCGGAGTCCCTGGAGCGGCCTGGGAATGAGGAGTTAGGGCTCCCGGATCCCAGTCCAGTTCTGCCACGGCTCTGTGGGCCCCCAGGGGCTCTGAGAGTTTGGCGTGCCTGGATTCTGGGGCGGGCCAGCGGGGCTGCCACGTGGGTACCAGGGCGGCCACGAGGGGCTTGGCCGTGGAAGGCCGGCGCTGGGAGACGCTCCCTTCCCTGTTGACCAGCGACACGGCTGCTGGTCCGGCTCCTCGCAGTCACCTTTCCCCAGGGCTCGGCCCTGAGGCCCTGTCCTGTGTCCTCTAGGCTGGCAGCCCGGCCTGGCGAGGTAGCGGACTGGCTGTGTGGCCTTGCTGCCAGGTGACTGCGTGGCTGCGTAGCCCTGGGGTGCCCCAGGACAGGCCGTCCCCGGTGGGGAGCGGGTCTCCGGTGCGGCTGACCTGGTTTCGGTCTCTCTCTCCATCCCCGGGCAGGCTTACAGCTCTTCTCCATGGCAGTCACGCTGGAGGTGTCGGTCGGGAAAACCCCGGTGGTGACGGCCCTGAACAACACAAAAGTGCAGCTGTCCTGCATCTTCACCACCTGCATGGGGTTCGAGGACCTTGTCTTCACTTGGTACTACAACAGCACTGAAATGGTGTGCGGGCTCTGACGGCCAGCCCTCGGGGGGGGGGGGGGGGCG